GTTGGTAAGTTAAAACAAGTTACTTGTCCTTGAAGTTTATTTTCATAATTCTATCAGCTGTGATTCAGAGGACGTAAGGAAAATTCTCCAGCTGCCACAGTGGCAGAAGTGGTGGGGGCATAAAAGAGCATGACCCATCACTTCCAAGTTCATTACCTCTCTAGATTTATCACAGTAAATTAGTAATAATAAAGAAGTTGAAGACATACAGTATGTTTTTGAACTTTGTTATGCATTTTACCATTAGAAGAGAAAAAGTCTATAATAAAAAGACATGATGTCAACCATACATTACATAATAATAATGTGTATACTGTATGCATTATATATACAACCATACATTACATAATAATAATGTATATACTGTATGCATTATATATCTCTATATATAGAGATATATAATGCATGATAAGCTAGTTCGTTAAAAAGTAATTTAAACCATTAATAATAAAAATTCAAAAAATACATAATATTATAACTATATACCCCCTGCAAGTTAATGTTTTATAGATGGACCTTTAGCAGCAATTACAGCCTAATTTCTATAAAGATAGGCCTCTATAGGCTTTACACATTTGAACACTACCATTTTGTCTTAATCCTCTTTGCAAAACCGTGCCAGCTCTGCCAAGCTGCTTGGGGATTGTGAATGAACAGGCTTTTCTAAGTCCAGCAACAAATTCTCTATTGGATCGAGAACTGGACTTCCACTCAGCCATTGCAGAACATTTGCATTGTTTGTTAAGGGGATTTATGCAATCATTAATTTGGTGTTTAAACATTGTAATTAAATTAATTTGCAGAGATCAGTTTCTACTCTGACACAAAAGATCCTATTGCTGTTGATCAGTGACATAAAAACAACAATTAATCAATGTGAGTCGATGTTATATGACATTAAAACATGAAAACGATTTAAATATTTTTATAGGACCTGTACTTTTACCAGCATGTAATAATATACGGAAAATAGAAACAAGCGCCCTGAATCATTAAATGGGTATCTTTAAAACAGACATATTTGGTTGGTTAGCCAGATGCTCATAGTGGCACCATTCCAGGAAAGCATTATAAACAGTTGCACAATCCAGAAAATAAAAAAATCCAGCTCAAAACCACATATCAGGAACTTGTTGAATTACCATTCGATGGCAAAGTGAAATATGACAACTCTGCTGTAATTACATTTACTAATTGCTTATGAAAGTCTGTCTGAAGAAAGAGTTTTTGTCTAATAAATCAATTTTCTTTGTTTTTCAGGGGGACATGATGTATTTTCTGGTTTTAATATTTATCTCAGGTGGACTTGTGGTCAAGCGATGGAAATTCAATTATTTATATTCCTAAGAAGCAGTTAATGATTGTTTTAAATGTTTTGATACAAGCCCTCACTGTCCTTTGTAGCTGCAGGCATTGTAAAGCAATTCTTCACAGTAGAAGCACTAAAGTAGCTCAGCAACTCTTCAGCCTTTTAATCTCTAATTTGAAGATAAAGCAGATGCGCTGGGAAGGGGAACAGATCAATCAGAGCTGCTCATAGAATCATCTCCTGTGCGTCTGCTGTGAACATTGAGGATGAATTGCACCACAGTGTCTGCAGCTACAGAGGTTAGTGCCAGTGTGCTTTAAAGCTAATTTACTGGTTGTTAAGCCTATGTAGTTGCATGTCTATAGCCTGGCCACAGGTTTACTTTAAGCCCACTGTGTCATACGGGAACTATGGGGCTGCCATTGGTGGTCTTCTGAAAATGCTACTTGTCTAGCTCTGTCTGACTTAAGTCATTTTGAATGACAAAGCCAGAACAAGCATGTTTTAAAGAACTGTCTGAAAGGTGTTCTTATTTTTAAACTTGTTTGAGGTCAGCTACTCAGAAATCATTGAAGACAAAGCATCAACATGACAGGAAGGGAACTAGTATTCCCAAAAGATACATAATCTTCTCATTACAGTGTCCCTTTAGACATTTAATTTAAGATATTAATTGGGTAGCAAATGTACACTTTGTGGAATGTGTTGCCCTTTTCAACATATCTGAATAGGCATATCATCCAAACAGTGCCTACAGACAAAAGTGATATACATGAATAAGAAGATTAGGCGATTTTCAATTAAGCATTCAATAATAACATCAATAGATATAATGGTGTGCTGTGTAAAAGTAAGTACACCCTTGGTATTAGAAGCTGGTATTTCCCTCTTTAGCAGAAATGGCTCCTTGTAGGTATTTTGTATAACTTCCCACTAGTCTCTGACATCCGCATCAAAATTTTAGATAAACAAAAAAGATCTGCACCAGTGATGATACAAAAAAAGTGAAAAAGAGCTACTAAGCACTACAATTATATCTGATATAATACAAAATATATATGCAATATAGTGCCGAGCTAAAGAAACAATCAAATATAAACAGGGAAATATACAATGATTATAGGCTGAACTCAAAGCAAGTAGCATACACAGTGAGATAAAGGCCATAACGAATCAAATGATGCGGTGCAGATAACGAATCCAAACAATGTGATGCAACGTGTACAAACAACATGAGCAGTACTCCGAAGCAGACTTTATAGCGTGCAGGACAACAGACTGTTTGATAATCCTTCATCTCCACCAAGTGAATGCACAAATTACAAAGGCGTGCTCACCTGGGTCTGTGGACCCACAGAGTAGGTCTCAAGTTCGTTTTCCCTTCTTAGGAGGGAGAGGGAGGCCCATAGTATCAGAGTAAAATAGATCCTTTCAGAAGACTAAGCAGTGCGTACGTCCAAAAATATAACATTTATTAGATAAAAACGGGTACTCACACAATAGCAAGAAATAGCCAGCATATAAGATTCCCACAGGGAATTCCCTCAATGTACTAGAGTACAGCAAATTCTATACAACTCCCGTCCGTCCGGCTCCACTGAAGTGATGTCAGATGCTCCGCCCTACGTACGTTACAACCAGCGCGACTTCGTCAGGGGTCTGGAGTATCCGACGTCTGAGTAACATTTATATACACAAGGGGACTTCCCCATTACCGTGAAGGTAGTAATAAATGTGCAGGGCTTTCCCAATAACGAGGATTGCAACAGACTTTCTCATTACCGTATAAACTGCAGTATATGTGCAGGTCTAGAGCCACATCTAGTTATATACACTATGCCGACAGCATATAACGCATGCCGACCTGGTGAATCCATGAAACCAAAAAAAGGAGTACGGAAGAAGGGGAACATGCCTCATAATAATAAAACATCAGAGGATATGTAAAAATATCCCAAAAAATCCTCTAAGTATAAACAGAAGTAAAATGAGCATCAATATATGAAAAGTAAGCAACACTGTATAAAATATAAACATAATGAAAACAAACAAAAAAATATATAAGCCTCCACAGACACAATTTTAGACCACTTACCAATGTAAAATTAATTTGGTTGCAAGATGTTTGTGGGTTTTCTTGCATGAACTCCCTGTTTCAAAATCCCTCTACAAACAACAAGTCTTTTTGATTGATCAGTCTTTAGCACATTGTTCCAAAAGGCCTGGTCTTTACCTATATGTTTAATGGCAAACTGTAGTCGTGCTCTAATGTTCTTTGTGGACAGCAAAGCCTTTTACTTATCACGCCTGAACACCCCGTAATTACATTTTGGGGTTCTTAGAGACTTCTTTGCGCATCAAATAGTCAGCTGTTGGGCTGAATTTGCTGGTGCTGGCCAGATCTGAACAGGTAAGCAGAAATCTTTGCCATGTATAGATTGTTCTCCTTATAGCGAAATAGTGGATTTCAAATCATTTGGTGATCTTTTTAAATCCCTTGCCAAACTCATAGGCCTCCACAATCTTCTTTCTGAGGGCCTTGGAGAGTTCCATTGATCTTGGCATGATGAGACCACACGTCAATAGCAAAGAGAACAACAGATCCTAGATATCTGAGTTTTAGATAAGAGATCTTTCCTCTGCATATTACCTAAGTAGGTTCTAATTATTGCCACCTAATCTGAAACACCTGATTCTACATTCAAGGATTTGAAGTGGTGGTAAATGTAGGGGTATACTTCCTTTTTTTCCATATGACAAATCTGCTTTTTCGTTTAAACCATGTCAGTTGTATGTATCCCCTGTTCAAATATATCACCTTTACCTGTAAGCACTGCTTGAATCAAGATCTAATGTTTGCTTGTTCATGTATGTTGAAAAAGTCAACAATTTCTCTGTCAATGCTTTTTCACATGACTATAATATTTACAAGCAGTTGTATTTAAAATATTTTATATTGTAGTAATAAGTCATTTTGATCTTTGTGTTGCATCTTCTTCCCCACAGCTCCAGCCATTTCCCTAGTCACCAACAGCTCCTTTCTAATCTCCAGTGCTGTATAGCTTACCCCAGATGGCACAGAATGCCAGAGACTTCACAGCCAAACATCACCCACCAACCAATCAATGATCAACTTACTGTCTGACCTGCCAATCTAATTGTACCCTACAACATGTTCCAGCACCTGCATAGCATCATTTCACCTCAGTTTATGTCCCAAAATGAAGTAAATGTTCAAATAATATATTACTATATTGTCACAGATCCCTGGTATCCATGTAGAAACATGTAACAGTAGTCACGGCAAGCTGGCAGAGGGTGTTGCTTTCTACTTTGCAGTGTTGTTCTCTAGAACAACATTATGTTAGGAGTGAGGATGCTACAGTGGGTAAGAAAGAAAAGAACCAGCAGAAAAGTATAGAGAGGAGGAGGGTTCTCTTTTGCCTCTTACTTTCTTTAGTGCTGGCTTGACTGCGTTGCAGACTACACTTTGTCATATTTGTACCCTTTGGGTAATCAAACTAAAGCAGCAGGTAAAAGAAAAAAAAAATTTGGACTTTTTTTTTTGCAGCCCCTACAGGTATAAAATGGTGGAAATAAAAAGCACCCACCCATTGTCAAAGTAGATAGTGCAATATAATGCCAAGTTTTTTTCTGTTTTCTGCCAGTTGAAATATCTTCTGTCTTCCAGTCGGTCAAGCCTGAATCTGAAGTCCGATGATGGCTCAAGATCAAACTGCAAAGCTGCACAGATCACAACAGCGATTATTAGCATCCCTACTTCCCCAGCTTTGACACCTGAAGGCGAGAATCGACCTGCAAGCCAACTTGGACATAGCACAAACATTCACTGTACAAGCAATGTTGTGAAAGTTTCTGCGCTATAAGACATTAGCGTAGCAAACCAAGGCTACCATGCGTACCCTTTTTTGCTGCAACATTGTGGAATCAGCAGTGAAGAAGTGACAAGCTTTTGCTAAACTTGCCATTTACCACCATGGAGAGGAAACAAGAGCACTGGATATATACATAAATGCCTATACTCACTCATATGGGCATTATGTATATTTTGGATGCTGGCTGCTAGGAAGTTTCATGGCAAGCAGAGGAGTTCACACAAAAGCAAAATTGACAACACTGTGTCTAAACACCTTTTTTTAAGGTTTTCAGTGGATAATATTTATTCATGAAGAAACGATGAAACATTAAAAAAAACATAAGAGAGTGATAATATGTTTTTGAAGGTTGTAAAAGGGGAACAGGGAAAAAAATGCAATATTCTTATTTGTAAAAGAATTTGCAAGCAACCAAAACAACACAATATTCTGTGTTTCTGAAAAAGATCGGACAAAGGGGCTGGGTGGGGTTTGGGGAATCAAAGAAAAATCTATTTTCCTGCATTGTTGTGTGAGAGTGGACTTTTGAACTGTTCAGAGAACAAAATAGCTCCTAGCACATTACGGATTGGGCACATCATAGAGGTGAGCACAGACATTTACAAGTAATTACATCTTCCCTTGCCGGTGTTCTTATAATTCTTAGACAATTTTGTATTAGCCTTCTAAGTCGAAGCAGTGCAGACTGTGATGTTGTCAGGTATAATAATGTCTGTGAATAAAAAGCATATTTGTGAAGCATTTGAAAAGGGGAAAAAAATAGAAAAAAAATATATAAATTGCTTTAATAGCATTTAGTTTATACACTACCACTCATTTCTGCTTTATAGTTTATGCCACTTCTTAAGCAGAATGCAGGGTCTGTATTAAAAAAAAAAGAAATCAAATGGCGAACAATAGGGATATCTTCTGATTTATGATAACAAAGAATTCAGGTACCCTGAATATGATTTTGCTGAGATTTACTAATTTTAGTAGTATCTTGGGTCTTTGAATTCAAATGTAAATACTGTAAAGAAAACTTGGTGTTTTCACATAGATATATTGTTGCCCCACCTCAGGTGTTACTAAAATAGACTGGTGAAACGGCATTATGCTGTATAGAAAACTTGTTATAGATTAGTAAACATAGGGACTGGTAAATATGGTGTATTCATTCATATACAAAATGCTTCCCTACCTCTTTGGGTGTCTGTTAAATTAAAGCTACAATTAATTGTTTATCTAATGGTGACACTGATAGAACAAAGGTCACATATGTCTTTATTTTAAATATCTCATATTTTGTAATGGGAAGCACATTTTCTGTTAACCTTTGCTGCCCCTTGGATGTGTGCCAGTGTAATTAATGTAGTATGTTTGGTGTAGTGGCTGCCACTGGCACGTTTTTCTGATAGACAAGGATCTTAGTGTTATTTCACTTTTCTTCCACACCCAATAAACCTTATAGGAATAAAAAGCATAATTATGTTGGTAAGTTCCAAAACAGCTTACCAAGTAGGGAATAGCACCCGACTAACAAGAAATATTTCGGTCTCCACGGTGTGCAGAAAAATCAAGGGTACATTGTGCAAGAGCTGCAACACTACAGGTCAGAATCTGCAGAATAGTTACAGGAGTTAATTTAACACTATGGTCACAAAGGCCTAGTAGTTTAGGCCATAGGGAAATGACCAGGATTATTTAATAATATAGTACAACGAGTAGGAAATTTAAAACTGGAAAAACAAGGGTTAAATGCTCATTAACTTCACGAGGAGATGAAGAGGTGGTATTACTTACCCTAACCCCTGCTGTGGTGCTCTCCTCTTGTCCCTGACACTCCAGGCTTTGGGTGGGTGGGTGGTCCTTCGACGTCTTCATGCACAGCACTATTATCTCAGCATTGTATGTGGAGGAGACAAATGTTTAATTGCTGCTGGGAAAGCTTTAGAGAGGAGGACTTGGGGGATCAGTCCTCAGATGGAGCCTACAGGAGGGAGGTATAAGGTAGGTATTGACCTTATTCCTCCTCCCCACCCCCCCAGAGTGTATAAGCATTTAACACTTACAGTGTGGGGGGGCTCACTGCAAGGGAATATTTATTTCCAGACCAGAGTTCAGCTGTTCAGCTTCAAGTAGATCTAATACAGGAAGTAAGAGGAGATCTTTCTATTGTAAGGAAAATTCTCAAGTGTTCCCATTGAAAATTCCTCTATTCCTGACAACACAAAATTTCACACAAGGCGACAATGATCATCAGGACAAAAAGAGAGGATGAAACTTCCCAGATGGGACACAGACAGAAGTTCTATACTTTTTCCACTCTACCCCCCTCCCCCCCCAAATGTGGCTTTAGCTACACTTTAAGGCACTGACACTGTGGAGCACTGTCCATCATACTTTTTTTCATTACCGGTTAAATTATAGGACAAGCTTTCGGGTATATACCCTTCTGCTAAGGGCCAACCTGAAAAGCTTGTCCTAAAAAATGTGACTGTTAGTACAAGTAAAAAGGTATTATGGACAATGCTTAACTGTGTAGTTTACAACTGCACTAATACGGCTACAATCATCTTAAATGTTAAGGAACTGAATCTGTTTTTATCTTTTACATTTATGCGACTGAGGCCCTTTTCAGATGTGTGGTCCAATCAGGTCCACCTGTCAGTTTTTCAGGTGGATCTAAACAGAAGCCTAGTGTAACTCTTTGGGTATCTGGATCTAAATGGACTTGTGTCACTTTACATCCGATTACCTCCTGCTCCGTCTAAGTCTGGAAAAAAAAAAAGGAACACCGTTTTGGTGGACCTCACTGTGACAGATCGGAGGTAATTGGATGTAAACAGAGATATGTCTGCTTACAGCTGACTCTCCATAGACCTAACATGGGTCCATACATCTCAGTTTTTTTCTCCATCGCAAGATGGTGAAAGGTGGAGGAGGCTTGCTGTATTTTAAAGTGCATTATTATAACATTATTATATTTTGTTTTACAAGCAAATTAATAACTTACAATTAACAGTGATTATAACAGAAAGTTAAATTCTGAGGCAAGAGGTTAATTATGTTGGAAATCTGTATCCGTAGGATCATTTTATAAAATCAGCACTGCCAGGCAGCATACTGGAGGCATTAATATTGGAGACAAGTCATTATACATATAAAGTGTGATGAAAGTCCAAATTGACCACACCTACATCTGCATTCTTTCTGAATCATTGTGTTACTGCACAGCCTTTTGTATTGCTCGACAAGCTTTTGAGGGAAAAACAACTGAATGGAATTAAGCAGTCTGCAGCAATCTGCCACACATGGCACATGGTGTTATTTTTCAGGTTTGAGTGATCAAATAATGCACATTGTAAATGAATCAAATTGTCTGTGAACTGGGATATTCACCAATTAAAATATGTCTGCATTATCGAGTGTTTGGTCCCTTGAATCCATGAGTAGCAGATTGCTATGGACCATTTAACTCCAACCAAACTTTAGGCTTCCATAATAGCTGAAGAATTGCCACTGTACTCCCACTTAAAAAATTTTAGCAACCTAATTCAACATATTATAAACATTGCCTTATCCTTTTATGTTTCTTTCTATGTTTCAAGGTGTGTGCTGACATCTACAGTATATTTAACTGATTTTGAACTGGAAATTAAAACTCTAAGGGGCATATTTATAAAGCAGTGAATATGTCATTCAGCAAACATCTGCAGGTAAATCATCCAGACCCGTGTGTCTTTCAAATGGAAGTGATTGATTCTCCACCTGAGGATGTTTGGTAAAAGTCACATTCACAGCTTAATAGACAGTGTTTGGTCAAATCTGTTCAGGAAATTTTCAATGGCCTCAGTGGTAAGAGGCCATCTTGCTAAGACACGTATTTAAACTTGAAAATAGTAGAAGGCAACCTATTGCACTGTGTACCGAGGGCAAAACTGCCAAGTCTTCCATGTCCCACATGCACACCAGTAGGGAAGTTTGGATAATTGTTGATGTCTGCAAATGTGGCCAATTTCAGTGAGGATCAGCCAAATGTTGGTTCCAGTTACTCTCAGGCTTGAAATTAGCATATGGCTGACATTCATTAAAGCTAGCCACATCTGGACTGAAGGTTTCGTACAAAACATACACTAGTTTACATAATGTACCAAATCTTCATCAAAGTTTTATCATCCCCTTTCTGCCTACATGTAAGTAGTTACCTAGTATAGCTGATGAATCTATTGCTCTTCAAAAAGCTCTGCAAGATCATTGTATGCAGCTGCACCCATAAAGTAGCTTTGTGACATAACGAAGTGTCTGTGGCTTTTCAAAGCAGACATTTCCGTTCACCAGAAAAAAAAAATCTATGCTTTTTTTAGTGCCCCAGATGAGAGTTACTGCCACCTAAGGTCCAAGCAGTGAGAGTGACATTACTCCAGTCTTCATTAAAAAAAATTCTATAAAAAGCTAAACTTGTTTGACAAGGTCATTGTATAACTTTTGCCCTTCTTCCTATCAGGTAACTATACCTTTTGTTGCCACCATCAAAGTGTTGACTCCCTCCCACTTTGTTATCCTTTTGTGTGTGTAGCTGATGTGTGAATAGTAACTTCCTCATGTTTGGATTCAAGCTCACATACATCAGGGCACTGTGACAATCAAACTGCCACTGCTTTAGTTTGAAATGACAAACTGAGGTGTGAAATAATGAGCATCTATCTTGTGCTGCATTTCAGGGAGTACATTGCCAGGAAGGGTAATGGAATCTCTGCAGCAACTTTCTTTGTTCCCATGTGCGTAGTATGAGACAAAATTTGCACAAGTAGCATTCCTTACTCTTGATGTGTAATTTCTCCAGCAGCGAAAGACATTCAGATCCAAAGACACGTGACTGGATTTTTTCCTGATAAGGAAAAATTAGCTTATAGCAAATGTTCACAACTACATGTCCCAGAATGCAATGTGATAAATAAATGAGGGGACAAAAAAAACCCCTTTTGAGACATTTCTGCGGTCTACTAACACATTCACTGCCAGTCTTCTTAGTCTTTTGAAGGTTAATCCATAGCCCACAGAATGAGGAACAGTCATCCCCACTAAATATGTTGTGGATCCATGTGTAGGTTTGGCCTAAAATAGGCCTTAGAAAAGTTGCATAGCTGTGTAAAAGATAGAATGTTTTAAATGTTTCAATGTAATTGTTCTATTCTGTGTCTTTTCAAATGTTTTAATTTCTTGACAAAACCATTTGTGTCCTTTTTATTATTATTATTATTATTATTGTTATTAACAACATAAGATGGAGCCCATTCTCTTTGTTGTCTTTGACTGCAAAATCTGTTCTCCTGATTGCTTTACTTCTTAGCATTGCCACTGAGCAAAGCAATTTCCGGGCAATCAATATGTACCAATACAAGAAGTACTGTATAATAATTATACAGGCTGGATCATCAAGTGTGAAGAAAAACAAAGGAGAAGGAAACAAATGTCACATTTCTTTCTTGCAGCTTCAAACCTGTTGTCTTCTTTTGAAATGTAGTGCATATGTTGAATTGTATATAATTTGCAGTAATTTGTCTTGTGCCACTGCTGTAACAAATGTATCCAATCTGGATTAAACTCATTATGTGCCACACCTGGACGATAGCTGTGAGTATTCACTGTACTCTTCAAAATATACAGATACATGCAACATCAAATAAGCAACATAAATAAAAAATGTAGTGTTCTGTTACAGATACACTCATCAGTACAACTCTAACTTCGGGTGTAGGCTCCTCTAGTGGTTTGTTCTCCACATCAGAGACAAAAGTAATTATTGAACTGTTAATGAACAGATCAGTGCAAGACAGACAACATAAGCTCTGTCCTCTAACACATTTCACTCACAACAGGCTTAGTTGTAGAGTCCATGAC